ATCAGTTAGTTTTATGTCAAAACTAAAGGAATTTTATCAAGTTATATTTGGTTTATCTGTGCACCACTTAATTTCTATTGGAACTTATATGTATCACAACCCCACTCAAATCATATATATTTTTTCCGCCATTTTCTAATATGAAACATAGTTTTGACTTATAAAAATATAAAGACTAGAAAGAAATTGAATACACAAATATTAAATAAAGAATCTTAGGCATTAATTGTAGATAATTTTATTTGGTATTGCAGTGAAGAACTAATTAGGAGAAAGCAAAATAATAATTACATTTTCAAAACTTCTTACTATAATTAGAATTATTCAATTAAAGTTGTCTACTTTAGTTATAAACATAGAAAATTTATTTGCAGAAATATACATGCATATTCATGTAGAAGTTCTGACAAACAAAAATATAAAAAAACTAGAAAAAAAATCTTGAGAAATGATTAAAAGTAACACAAAACAATACAGCAATGTTACAATCTAATAAAAATTACAATAATGTTAAAAAATATTTATTTTGCTGTGAGCTTAAATATTATAATAGTTGATCCACTTCGATATTACTCGACGATCGGCTGTTACCCAGACTTAGATTCTTTGTTCTCGGCGATTATAGGGTATCTTTAGTCTTCTGGTCCCAACTCGCTTTGTCACGACGCGGTTTCTTCGCCGCTCTTCCTAGAAATTTCAGATTGCTCGTGTACGATTTGGATGCCATCTTCATAGTGTTATACATTCCCCTTTTTGTACTTCATTGCTACAGTTTAGATATTATACCAGCAGTCAATGCAGCTGCAAAATCTTAATAAAACTAATGTAATCAATCATACATGTATAGCATTCATTAATATTCTTGTACTGTTTTAATTTATTTATTTATTACTGTTAAAATTTGACATTTAATATATAATTTTTTCATATTCTAAAAAAAAAAATTTTTTTTACAAAGATGTATTACATTTAACATTTTTAAGTAAGTTATGGACATTGGACAAAACAAATAAAAGATATAATTTTTCAATAAATAACTCATAACTATTAAGGGGAACTAATTTGATACCATACCATTGAAAGAAGTAACAACAACTTTGTACTAGTATATATTCCCAAAGATGTGTTTCCTCTCCTACAAAAATATCAATGGTTGGATCTCATAATATCGATATTATGTTATGTTCCCATTTGGGAACAGTATGCAATTGATCGTTAAGACTTATGGAATTAAAATGTAACAGTAATCACAGTTTTTAGCTGTCGAATATTTAATTTATGACCATTTGTTCATAGTTTATAAAAAAGACAATATCAATTATACGATTTAATGGATTATAACCTCATAATTCAACGACGGAAATGCTTTAAATTATAAGATTTAATACTCTGTTTCAAATAGAATTCATGATAATATAATATGTATATTACAGTTCATTACTGCAAAGGAAGTAGTAAATTCTGAACAACTAATTTATTGACTTTGCAATAAAGAAAAGCGAGTACAAATATGTTTAATACAAAAACAATAATTCGCATAGTCCGGTTTGAAAATTTAAAAACAAACAAAATTTTGATAAGAGCAGTTTTGTATGTATTTAGTTTTGGTTTCAAACAGTCTGGGATATTGGAGGAATCGATTACCCGCATTGTGTGAGATTCTGCTGTTTATGTATTTGGTTTAATTAAGAAATTAGAAAATGTTGGATTAAATTAAACAATGAAATAAAAATATATAATTGAATAATTATGACTCGTATACCAAATTGAATACACAAATATTAAATAAAGATTTTTAGACACTAATTTTAGATAATTTCATTTGGTATTACAGTGAAGAACTAATTACGTTCTAAGAGAAAGCAAAATAATAATTGCATTTTCAAAATTTCTTACTATAAATTAGAATTATTCAATTAAAGTTGCCTACTTTATTTATAAACATAGAGAATTTATTTACGGAAATTCATGCTTGAATATTCACGCAAAAATCTTCATATTTATTATGAATGATTGTAATAACAAAAAAGATACGCAGTTATTTAAAATAATGTGCGTTGAAAATGGTTTATGCGCTTGATTTATTTCATCCTTCCATAATTTCGTTTATTTATTTACAAAGATCGCCGAGGCAAGTGAATATTAATATTAAGAATAGTAAATCGACGTAGTTTACGGTGTATTCGAAAACGAATTTGCATGCATTCGCGAGGACCGAAATTTACGTATAAAATAAGGATAATTAATTTCTGCGTCCATGCCAGAACCCCATAAGCAATCGCATAAATATTCGGGTTTTATATTCTTTAAAACCGGTTACCGGTAATAGCAAATGATTAACCAGACTTTCGATTTGGACCATTCCTCATCCGAGTTATCTAATCCAATCGAGTTTAAAGACATCTCGGATTAGATATCAAAAAGATGAATTCCGATTTCAATGGAAACATGCATGCTTGTCTCTGAGGATGTAAAAGGCTGCACGTGAGATTGGTGAGGAAAGGAAAAATCGTAGGACGATCGTTCGGACAACTGAAAATAAAAACTAAAAAATGTATCGTATCCTTCGCAGCTTCCCAATCTGCCCACGCCACTCATATCAGTTATTTATTGAAGCACTTACTTCGTTCTTAATCAACGGAATTTGCGCTAACGATGCTTTATTCCGTCGAATTCATCCGTTAAAATAATAATACGAAATAATAAAAATTGCATTTTTATTGTGTGAACTGTTCGCATCGATATGTTGGCGTTTTAACTTTAAATAATTGGCTTTTAAATTGGAATATTGGAGAAAGACACGGCTATAATACAAGTATTTCGCGTTTCCTGTCCTTCTATAAGCCATTTCCTATCAGATTTCCACCTGTGCGTTTAGCTATTTTCTAGTAACGACTTGTCGGGACTTTCACGTTTAATTTATTAAAATTATCTCATTTATAATCTATAAATTTAATTACGTAACTGAATAGTGGAAATATTGTTTTCTATCTTCTCGAGCCGACGATCTTATACTATCTATATTTGGTATAAATCAATTCGTTGATTAATATGATTGTTAGCGTTATACGTAATAACATAAATATTTTAATATATTTGATGTTCATAATAAAAATTAGTAAGAAGTAATAAATATATATATAATATACAGACATACCTCGATTAACAAATACATTGCGTTCTATGAAATTACTTTGGTAAGTGGAACTTCGTTTTTAGAGGTAAAAATTCTATGTCCGTGTTCCTTTGTAAGAAAGAATATATTTTTTTTGAATAATGTACATAAAGTGAAATCATAATTTAAAAAATGAGTTTAAAGTTGACTGTTTGTGGTCATCTGGATAACTTCATATATTTTGCTTGAAATTGCGGACTTCGTTATATTAAAGGTTTGTTATAAAAGGTATTATTCCAAAGTCTAAGTAACTTATTTTTAGTGATACTTATTTTTTTGAATCTATGTTTATTTTAATTTAATTTATTTATTTGACTCAATTCTACTTCAGTATTCTTTATAGTTTTATAAATGTTAAATTCTGTTATTTGGATTAAAACGAAATTACATTTTTAGCTGTAAAAGTAGAAATTATGGTTTATTTCATTCGTAAATTTCCATGTGAAAACTCCAAAAATTAAATGTTTTCCTAATATCATTTTTGAAGTTGTCTTTTTGAAAAATATGTTCCTATTATTATTTATTTAATAACATTTATTGGTGGCTCATTTAGTACCAAAGTATGTTCCTATTATTCATATAATTTTTAATGGAAGAAATTACAAATAAAATTAAAATTAAAAAAAAAATTTATTGTCAAAATATTATTTTTAATGGATTGTGGAAATACAAATAATTATAAATATTAATTGATTCTTTAATTATCAATATATTATATTATTTTTCAAATAATAAATTAAATAAAAATGCATTATTTTTAATAAGTTCAGTCGTTAATAAAATTAAATTGTTTTAAATTAAACCGAAAAAGAAGATTTTTCTTCTTTTTAACATTAAATAATATATAAGAATATATGTTTTATCAATTAAATAATTAAGACTAGATAATAGGCACATTTTTACTGTATTTGAATTTTATTTAATTAAAGTTTATATTTAATTTATGATTGAAATGATTTTATATTATGATATATAAATAAACTGTAAAAAAGCAATGTGTTAAATATAGAAGTAAGAAAAGCAGTTTATACCATACAAATGAAATAAATTACGAAGCGTTGTTAACAGCTATATGCGTTGTTAAACTAATTGAAAGGACTAATCTTGTAACAAAATAAAATAAATCACTTTGCAATCCCGAGATGTGCTACTATTCAGGTCTTTGTTGAGGCAAGAATAAGCTTACGTAATTCAATTAATCTTTAAGTCTATTTTTTTAAATGAAAGCATCAATTTATATATATACTTTTTTTATTATTGTTGTATGATTGCGGTGTAATATAAATCGTTAACGGGCACGATTTCAAATCGCGCGGAGTGGAAATGTATCGTGTGTTTTATTCTTCTAGTTTAGAAGAGAAGAAATAATAAAAGTAAGAGCGAAGGGGGCATAATTAAATTTATGTGTGCTGTCATTAGAAGTAATGTCGGTGGTAGGCGACTAGTTCTCTCTTATCGGTGCATAACACAATGAGAGAGACTACTTCGTCTTCCTGTTCTTCGTTCTCCACCACCACGTCTCGAACTAGGAGCAAACGTCGTGGTCGTAAAGTCCTTCCAGCGCTCGAATGGGGAGCGACAGAAGAAGGCCGTAATCAATCCATCATCATCATCACCAAAAGGGCGCGCACGGATCGCGTCCAGTTCCTTTAAAATTTCCTTTCGTGCCTTTCGTTGCACGGCTCTTCAGAAAATCCTCCGGCTCTTAAGATTTCGTACCGCGTGCTGCTTAAGCTGCGAGCGCATGCGTTCGATACATTCTGTGTTTTGATTCTTCTTGCATGAGTCTGCAACACACGTTGATTGTCGACGACATATACTGGACGTATTGTTGATAATCAATCACGAAAAATAAGAACCGAAGAACGCGCACGACAAAAAAAAATAATAACACGAAAAAAATATAGACTAAAGAAAATCCCCCCACCACCACGCAAACACGCACTTCCGGTTTTTATTTTTTGGCATCCGGTTAAAAAATAATTTTGAAAAGAATTACAAAAGTTTTGCGCGAAAATGTTGAGTATGTAAGAAGGATGTACTGTACGCGAAGTTAAGTTTTCGTTGTTGTTTGAGGAAGTTCGCGTCTCACAGGCATGGCACCCGGACACGGAAAAAGGATAATCAGTGGTTGCGTAACCGGCGCGGCCTCCTGTGCCCATTAATTAGGATCTTCGGAGCGCGATGATTTACATTCGTCGTTTCAGTTACCAACTTGTTGTTTGTTCTTCGTTTTAGGCGCAGCGTTTGGGAACTCCCTTGGAAGTGGTTTTCTGTGTTCGAAATGGTTTTCTGTGCGGAATAATGCGTTGCGGTTTGTGTGTGTGTGCATGTGTGTCGTTTTCGTATTACGCTTTTCGTTCTTTTTTCTTGTTGAGACTTCGAGCACCGTAAGAGTAGTTTCGTGTTTGTTGATAGAGAGGAGAGCAAAGAAGCTGAGCTCTCCGAAGAAAGGGGGACTTCGGAGACATCCTTGCTCTCTGGTGAAGATGCAACCTCCTGCAGCATGCTCCTGCCGGACGAGACCTACGAACAGAGTGCGGTCGCTGCAGGACACCTGCTCGCCGTCCTCCGGGTCTACGACGATTTCCTCGCTCGACACAGGATCCGGCCCGAGTTTTTCTGCAGGTAAACTACTGCCCACTATCCGCACTCTTAACTATTCAAATCTTTCACTTTCCATTCACGTTCCGCACAATACTAACTACTAGCATACAAACCCCATAAGGCAAGGAAGTCAATAGATTCATTCAAATTATTACATGCCAATTTTCCAGATAACGCACAACTCTATATATAAATCTATAAAAAAAATACAATAACTACGTCAAACGTTTTTCTGCTAATATATAAAATTGATTATGAAATTATGATAATTTTATAAATCAATAAATGTAAAAAAAATATGTCATAAATTGAAAATACTTAGAAATAATGTTTATTATTTGCATTGAACAATAATTTATAAATACACGACAAAGACCAGAAAAACATCAAGAAAAAGTTTGGATATAAAAATAATAATAATATTTATTAATATTGCATCACTACACAAAATAACTTATAAACTTGTAAAAAGAGCGAAGAAGAACAAAAAATGTAAATGTAATTGGATAATGAGAAACATATTTTATATACTTTTTTAAGGTATATAAAATATGTTCCTTTTTTTTTAATAATTTAATAATTACTTAATTATTTCCGTATACTATTTTCGTAAGAATATGTAGGGTATTGAATGAAGTTTGAAGTTGAAGTTTAAGAATATTTATTCAGAGTAGATACATACATAGATAGTTATTTTTTTTAAGGGGTGGCGTACATGTGAGCTTGTGCTCATTTAGCCAGAGGTATTGAATGAGAACATTATACGTTTATGTAGATATGGTTTGTCTTTATGTTGTATATAGACGTTGTATATTAAGTTTATAATTTGTATAAATCCAAATATAAAGCATGGTTTTGACTAATAAGCAATTTGTTGTATTTAATAATTTACACAATGATTCCTAATAATAAAATTATAAGGTAAGAAAATCGGTAATGATCATTTATGGAAGGTAAATATTGATATATTAAACAGTAAAGTTTATTCACTAGAATATTTATATCATTTATACTTTATATATATTGTATTAAAATATATTACTTTTACAATTTAAGCGATACTTGTCAAATTTAAATAATATTTACAATAAGACCTCTTTTAGCGTTTAATGAAATAGCGTTAAACAAGGTCACTTATAGTAAATAGGTAAATTTAGATCTTTTCGAGGCATCCACTTGGCCGCAACTATTTAATGTGTTTAAACATAACATAATAGCAAAAAGTTTGAAAATTCAATATAATGTGTAGTTCAATACCGATTAATTACTTATTATTTAATTTTATTGAGAGGAATCTTTTTTTATTGTTATTAGATAATTAAATCAATTATATTTTTATTTTATACCTTTTCTAAACGTTACATCATTCCATTGAGTAGAGATCGTATTTGAAAAAAAAAACGAAGAAAAATATAAATGGCTTAAGTCGATAATAAAAAAATGAGCGATAGTCAATACTTCATGAAATTCAAGGAAACAGTAAAGCGAGGAAAAAAAAACACTCTCGGAGAGGCAGAAGAAAAAGTAATCCATCGTCACTGGAATCTAGGCATTTCCAAGAGAGAGAGAGGTTAGCGTTGGTACAAATAATTTATATAGAGGAAGAATACAATTTATTATAGAACGTAGATATGCATTGAACTATTTCTAATTCAAATTATTATTCTAGTCGCTATGTGTCAGCTTTGAACAGAGTGCATCATTCATAGTTTGATGTATATGGGATATTAGTTTTCCTTAGTAGCAAGAAACTGGATGATAAAAAAATGATTTCCTGAAGTAACAAATTTCAATATATAAGGTGATCATTTTTTTAGAAAAAAAACATTATAACAAATTGTATTGGAATATAAATTCAATTTATTTTGCATATGAAAAAAAAAATGTTCATTACAATATAATTCAAATATGTGGTTGACTTTTAAGTTGCAAACGAAAATACTAAATTAATTATTAATTAGTTATTGTTTTAAACCTGATTTCAATACGATTAAAAAGAAAACAATTACATAATTCACGCGGAACAAGAAAGCGAATGAGAGGACGCACAAAACATGCGTTTTTTTCTCTCTCGCATGTTTGAAACATGTTCTACTTCTTTGTTCGTCTATTCCCATTCATGGCAGAGCACACAGACCGCGACTGGTGCAGAATTGCAAGTATCTTGAAATTATTTATACACTCATTTTCTATTTACTGCAATTACAATATTTAATGTATTGAAGGAATATATAAATATTGTTTAGCTTATTTTTTCTATTTTCTTAAAATTAAAGTTTTTTTTTCTATAATTTATTTCAAAAACGATTGCAGAATTAAATTTCAATTATATTATTGAATGTAAAAAAGGAATACATAAACATTGTTTGATTGTACAAAAAAATATATGTAAATTAAAGAAAAAAACAAATATTTACTTGAAAATTATATTTTTTGTATTACATTTAGTATAAATTGAAGAGTTTGCTAATAAATTTTAACCCTTTCCCACCTGCAATCCTTGCCCACAACGCACCCCCAGACGACGACCCAGACATAATCCATTTTCTAAACACCGTCAAACCCATGTTCCTCCACCCAGATCCAATACTCCACCTACCAAACTTTGCCAATTAGACATAAGTCAACCTAACAATTACCAAACTTTTTTTTCTTTTTTTTTATAAATATCTTGACACCATGTAAATTTGTATTCTGGCTAAATGAGCAAAAAGCTCACATGTACGCCACCCCTTAAACTACCACCCTGTAAACTTCATAATCAATCAAATAAAAGTCTGTTAAATCGAAAAAAATAAATTTTAATTTACTTTAAGGAGTATTTAATCAATACTTAAATGAAATTTGAGTATATTTTGAGTATGTTTTCTCTGTAATTTAATCAAACGCTTTAGAATCGAATGTATAGGTTTACACATTTCCTCAATTTTATTGAGCCGATAATTCGATATAAACCGAAACCTAAGTAATAACGTTTATAATGAACGGGGTATTAGGAAATGCGTTGTCGTTAAGGAGTTTAATCGAACCGAAGAACGAGTATTCGAAAAGAAGAAGGTGAAGTGGCGTGGTGAAGAGAGGAAAAGATGAGAAGAGAAGAGAAGAGGAGAAAAGAACGGCGCGCTGTATTTTCTTAAGAATATGTAATTACGTTTAATAATCTGTTGGAAAATAATAAATTAATGACCTTAAAACCATCTCCGACATTATTATAAATGTACTTCCATGTAGTTACCTAACTCATTAATTAATTACACTTTGTTCCACTTCAGGAAACATTAATATTATTTTCACAAATAATATTAACATCTCTATTCATTATTTTGCAAATATATTTTATTACCACAGGTAGATTCATGAAATTATTTATTTTTGTCATTCAAAAATTATGTACAATATTCCCATTCATATATTTTGTAAACTATATAATTAATTAATGGAATTTAATACCTTTACAGTTGTGAGAGGAAATATTTATTTTAATATCATATTTCGAACAAAAAAGCCATCGAGTTTATGTCTTCAAGTATAGATTATATTTTTATGGTATTACTTTAATAATTATTGATAACAACATTGCAAAAACAACTTTCGCATAATTATGTACTCTCCATTGGAAGAGTTGATGAATCGGGTTAAATTACCCTAAATTGTGTAAAAATGAATTCTTGAATAGTCAAAAAATATCTTATTTTTATCCATATTTATTCTCATGGTTTTGATTAAAATTGTTAAATTATATAATTTCTTTTGTAATTTTAATTGATTTTTATATTTTATATTTATATATTCAATAAATGCAAAAATAATATTATTTGTCTTTTCTATGTATACTTTTTGTAGGTTATAGAAAATAGGAATACAAACATTATACTGTACTATAAAAGCTTTCTGAGAATTTTGCTTCAGTTTCAAATGTAATTTTGTATATGTTACAGTAGAAGTACACAAACTTGTAGGTAAATTTAAGTACACATTTGACAGCAGCGTGACATATATACTTCTACCGGTAAATGTATACTTTTACCTATGTATATCGGTAAAAGTTGAAAATAAAATATACGAGATACAGTTGTTATATGTAAATACTAAATTAATTAGTAATTAGTTATTGTTTTAAAACTGATTTCAATAATCGTATTGATAAAAGAAAACAATTACATAATTCACGCGGAACAAGAAAGCGAATGAGAGGACACACAAAACATGCGTTTTTTTCTCTTACAGTTGTTATATATCTAGGTTAGGTTAGGTCTCCAGCAAACAATGTGTTAGGTTCAAACTAAAATAATTATTTTGGCATGAATAAGTTATTTCTGTAATACCGATTTTTTTTTCTAAATTCATTTTATGTGTTTGTGAAATAATATAAATTCCACCGAAAATTACATAAAAATTAACAAAAAATGCGTATTTTTTATTTCATTTTGATTGATTTGTAATTTGTTATATTCATGAAAGTAAATAAAATTGTTTCCAGTTCTTCATGCAACATATATATATTTCTATTAAGTGAAACTGAGAGTGTAGTGTATGTTGCTCGTTTGCACAAAAATAAACACACAAAACGAGCCGCATTTACACGGGCAATTTATCATTATTAAACTTAATATGGTGATTTTGCAGAAGGAAGGGAAATCTGTTTAAGGCTTTGCGTTATTCGAACGAGCGAATCCGCATGCATTTAATGTAAATAATGTAAATATAAATGCCTCATTTAAAAGGCCGTGCATTTCATATTTTACGATTATTTTTATTTAATAAATTACAGTCCTGCAATTTGTGGTTTCATTTTTTTTATTACTTTAATTTTATACATAATTTCAATAAAATTCTTATTATTATTAGTCAGGAATGAGTATAAATTATATTAAAACATAAACGGATTTCTAAGAAAAGGATTACTTCCAATTCTCGATAATGAAAGTAATGATTGCCATGTGACAAATATAAACATCTGGAAAATCTTTGGAGTTATCGTAAATCATTGTGAAATATAGAATTATTCAAAGATTTCAGTG